CGTGAATCCAGGTTCGTCTCCCTCCTGCTTTCTTGCCCCGTGCCATCGGCCAACGCCCCTATCCCCGTGGGCGGACTTCGCTCACTCGACTTACGTCGCTTGCTCTGCCTCCCCCATCTTCCGCCTCCCCGAGGCCGCGGCTGGCGCGGCCTCGACTCGCCTGGAGCAGTGGCAGGTCGCCTTGCGGTGCCGCTTGACGGCTCAGGCGGAGATCGACCTGCCAGCGAGGCGCCAGAAGCTCGACGAGAGTGCCATCCCGATCGAGAGGTTGCAGTTCGGGACTGCGCGTGGCGAGCTCTGGTCAGGGGGGCTCGCCGCGGACGCTGAGCTCGACCAGCTGCTGGCGCACGCGACGGACTCGATCCTGGCGGACTACACGGCCCCGCTGACGGTGAAGAACCACGCGGTCACTCTCTCGACCAGGGAGACGGAGTGGACGGCGGCGGCCAAGCTGTACCAGCAGCACGACCAGACGGTGACGGAGCAGTACCAGAAGATGGTCATGCACACGAAGGTGCGCGTGTCGGAGGCGACGTGCCTCATGGCACTGAAGGAGTTCTCTGGCCGCCCGATGAAGCTGAAGCGGCTCTTGAGCTCGGAGCGCGATGAGTTGGCGGCCAGCGGGTGGTGGGAGCACGCGCAGCCGGCCCTGCGCGCCCAGGTCGAGGACGCCACGAAGTGGAGTCGCAAGGCTGCTGGTGCGGGTGAGTCCTAGGCTGCTCGCTGCGATTGGGTGGTATCGCGTCGAGGTTGCAGCATGGGGCGAGAAGATGGCGGATGGCAGGTTCAAGCCGCCCCCCTCCCCTTGGTCGCTGCCCTGGCATCTTGGCTGGGCGCGGGCGATGGCCACGGGGCAGGGGGTGGAATGGGCCTGCGATCCTTCGCCGCCATGCTGCAGCCTCGTCGCGCCACCACCCCCATGACTCCATCAGTAATGTGGCCGTCGATGCGCCGACGGATACGATAATGAGAAGAGGACTGCGGAGGGGATGAGGGGCACGGTGAGGAGGAGGAGTTGGCCATCGGCCTCCTCCTCCTCCTCCTCACCGTGCCCCTCCCCCTCCTCCTCCTCCGCCACCTCTTCCACCTCCTCCTCCTTCTTGTCTTCCTCCTCCTCCTCCTCCCCCCATCCCCCCCCTCCTCCCCCTCCTCATCCTGCCCTCCTCCCCCTCCTCCTCCTCCTCCTCTTTCCCTCTCCTCCTGCCTCCTCCTCCTCCTCCTCCTCCCCTCCTCCTCCCCCTCCCCTTCCTCTTCCTCCTCCTCTTCCTCCTCCCCTCCGCCCCACTCCTCCCCCTCCTCCTCCTCCTCCTCCTCCTCCTTCTCCCCCTCGTCGTCTTCATCGTTTTCAGGGTCGGCGGTGGGTGGATGGGAGGGGTGGCATGAGATTAGACGGGGGGACTTTTAGGGTCAGGATCAAAGGGGCACGGAGGATGGATTCAAACGAACGGGGAGGCAGCATCGTCGGCCGCCGGCGTGCTTGCCTGGAGGTATCTCTCTGGGGTGCGCGGGCTCAAGATAGCTCCTTAGGGTGCGCCGCCGCTCGCCTGGGGTTTCAGCTGGTGGTCGCGGGCTCGCCTGGAGGTATCTCTCTGGCTTGCGCGGTGCTCGAGATAGCTCGTTAGGGTGTGCCGAATTCGGCTGCGCGACGCGGCCGAGAGGCAGCGCGGGGAGGTCCTCAGAAACGCGCCGAGGTCATGTTTCGGAGGGGCGGCCGTTTTGTAAGCTTCGGCAATGCAATGAAAAATGAGGGCCCCTCCGGAAACGTGACCTCGGCGCGATTCCGAGGACCTCCCCGCGTTGAGCGGGGACTTTTGAGTTTAGGCTCGCCGTGAGAGCGAGGCGTTCACGAACGCTTCGAAGGGAGACGCGGCTGGCTCTGCGGGAAACGGCTGGCCGTCCTCTTCCCCTTCCTCCCCCTCCTCCCCCTCCCCTCCTCCTCCTCCTCCTCCTCCTCTTCCTCCTCCTCATCCTCCCTCCTCCCTCCTCCCCCTCCTGGTGTGAGTTGTTCGGTCCCCTCCCCCTCGCCCGCCTCCTCCTCCTCCTCCTCCCTCCTCCTCCTCCTCCCCCTCCTCCTCGTTTTCGTCGTCGTCAGGGTCGGCGGCGGTGGATTTTTCGGCTGTGCCTTCGAGGGGGCCCAGTCCCCCGCCGTGCAATCGTCGCCTGTATCCCCCCGAAGGGGCTCCCTGGATCGCCACTCCGTGTCCGAGGGTTCAGCGGCTTGGACTGGCAAACGCGCCAGTCCGAAGCGACCTCTCGTCCGACCATTTTATAATCGTTCCGCTTCGCGGTGTGTATCCGCCGCCCTATTTGTGCTTATGCGAGACCCTATTTCAAAAATACTTTGGGAGTACTTCGCGGGAGTACTTTGGGAGTATTCTTGGAGTAGTTATGTTGTAGGGGTCTTATACGGGGCGGGCGCATTCACAAAGCAAGGCTCCAGGAAGCAGGCGCGGTCGGCCGCAGTGGGAGGTCAGGGAGGGGGGTGCCAGGCAGATTTCTGCAGGGTAGGGTGGGCTGTTTTCAAATTTGCACAAGGTGGTTGCGGGACAAGGCTCCGGGAACCAAGCGCGGTCGGCCGCGGTGGGGGGCCAGGGAGGAGGGTGTTTGGCGGATTTCTGCTGGGTGGGTAGCTCTAAAACTTGTTAAAATGGGTACGGGACACTGTTCCAAGAACCAGGCGCGATCGGCCGCGGTGGGGGGTCGGGGAGGGGGGTGCCGGACGGACTTCTGCTGGGTGGTAGAATTTGTCAAAGTGGCTACGGAACAATGCTCCAGGAACGAGGCGCGGTCGGCCGCGGTGGGGGGTCAGGGAGTGGAGTGCCGGATTGCTGCTGGGTGGGGGGTTCTAAAGTTTGTGCAAGTGGCTGAGGAACCAGGCTCCGGGGACGAGGCGCGGTCGTCCGCGGCGCAGGGTCGGGGAGGGGGGTGCAGGACGGACTTCTGCTGCGTGGGTGGTTCGAAAACTTTTACAGAGCGGCGACGGAACAAGGCTCGAGGAACCAGGCGCGGTCGGCCGCGGTGGCGCGTCTGGGAGGGGCGTGCCGGACGGATTTCTGCTGGGCGCGTGGTTTTCAAATTTGTACCAAGTGGGTGCGGAAGAAGGCTCGAGGAACTGCGGACGGCCGCAGTGGGGGGTCAGACAGAGGCGTGCCGGACGGATTTCTGTTGGGTGCGTGGTTTTCGAACATGTACGACGTGGTTATGGAACAAGGATTCAGGAACGAGGCGCGGTCGGCCGCGGTGGGGGGCCAGGGAAGAGGCTGCCGGGTGGATGTCTGTAGGATGCGTGGCCGTAGAATTTGTACAAGTTGGCTAAGAAGTTACACCTGCGAAAACCCAATCAGTGGATGATTTGAGAATTAGTCATATGGATGTTGAGACCGATTGTGAGATCGAAAATGAAATTGAAAGTGGAATCGATAGTTGACGATTGTAAGGTCGATCGTGAGACCGAGAGTGAAATCGACTCAATGAGATCGATAGGGAGATCGATCGCGAGATCGCTCGTGCGATCTCTAGCGGGATCGTTTGCGAGATCGATTGTGAGATCGATGGTGAGATCGAGAGAGAGGTGGGAAATGAGATCGATGCCGAGACCGATCGTTAAGAAGATCGACCAGAAACCTGGGAACCTGGGAACCTCGCCGCCCACCGAAATCGGCCTTGGAATTGGGAACCCAGGATCCCGGAACCGGGAACCCGGGAACCAGGTCTGCCACCAAAATCGGCGTGAAACATTCGCCTTCTCTTTCAATATCCGCTAGGACCCCTTCAGTGCAAGCACTGATTTGGGAACAAGTCTCCAGCAAGCATGCGCGGTCGGCCGCGGTGGAAGGCTAGGGAGGGGGGGGCCGGGCGGATTTCTGTTGGGCGGGTTGTTCTAAGAGAATTCTAGAACTTGTTCCAGGAACAGGGGTCGGAGAAGCGAAAGCGCGACAGAAGGCCTTGCCCAGGCGCTGTGGGAGGTTCCAGGAAGTGGGGTCGGAGAAGTGAAAGAGTGACGCAGAGCCGTGCCAGAAGGGATTGTCGTGGCGGATGGCATGGACAGGTGAAACGTTGAATCGCGCACGCACGCCTCTAGGGTCGGCGGATTGAACAGACAAGTAGGCACCCTTTTAGTGGAAACAATGTTTCTTCCTCCTCCCTCTTGCACCGAAGTAGTGGCTTGCATGCATCTGCTGGCACAGGCAGGGCGCGCATGCTTTGCTGCAGCAGCGGTTAGCCGACTCTGGTCTGTCCTATCGGCCCGGGCTCGCCTTCCAGTCGCTACGGATTGCTCCGCGTCTGGCCAGGCCCGCGCGCCGAATTTCAGATGTTCGACACTCAGTTGGCGAGTGCGTGCGCCCAACGCTTGGCTCTCCGTTTTGTTCCGTTTCTTTCTCCTCGTCTCTTTCTTGCCCGATTCTTCCGCCTCCTCCTCCTCCGCCTCCTCCTGATCCTCCTTCTCCTCCTGCTCCTCCTCCTGCCATTTTCCAGCGTGATCGGGAATGGGAAGATATTGCATTCCCCGTTGGCGCACTATCTCGGAATCCAGAATATTTTCCGACCAGTGATCTCGTACTGTACGGCGGTGTGATTGTTGCTGTGGGGTGCCTGGTTCTACGCATGGCCGGTCGGGTCGTAAGGAGAGCGCAATGCATTGGCACATCTGCTTTGGCAGCGCTGCTCTCGGCACTCGGCCTGCGGTCTGTCTGCACTCGGCTCGCGGTGCGAGCGGCGCGCGCACGAGCTGCGGGGCCACCAGCACCGAAGCACCACAGTGCTCGCGCGCAGACCACGAGGAAACGGGATGGAGGAGGAGGGGCGGGGAGGGGGGGAGGGCCGAGGAGAACGTTGGGTGGGATGGAGGTGCGAGTGGAAGGAGGGAGAGGGAGGGGGGCGGAGGAGTCAGGGAGGGAGGGGGTCAGGGAGGGAGGGGAGACGGAGGAGGGGCGAGGAGGAGGAGGGAGGGAACGAGGGCGGGGGCCAGGAGGAGGAGGAGGAGGAGAAGGAGGCTGCAGGCCATCCCTGTCAAGGGCAAGATCCACTGGGCGATAGATCTGAGCCGAGTCGAGATCGCGATCTACAGCGGCGCGGGGCTCAGCGGCTGGGCCGCGCCAGCTGCACGTCTGCCCCCTGCCTTTCCCCCTCTCTTGACATCGCTCGGACGTGTGCATTTTTCCTTCGGCGAGGACCATCGAGGAGCATCCTTGATCATTTGCCGACAAAACCGCGCACCAAACCGAACAAAAACACAGGGAATGGACGTCCGAGCGATGGCCAGCTCTGCATCTGCCCCATCTGGCTTGCATTACGTCGGGCCTGTCCCTCCACAGGGGGAATATCTAAAATCGTTAAAAAATAGTCCGGGGATTTTTCCCAACCATCCTGTGGTGTTGGGTCCTCGTTTTGAAGAGACGGTGCCCTGCGTTCCTCTCCTCTCCTCTCCTCTCCTCTCCTCTCCTCTCCTCCTCTCCTCCCCTCCTCTCCTCCTCTCCTCTTCACCCACCCAGTACACCGCTTCGTGGCTCCATAGGGAGCTCCACCGAAGGCCCCAGTGCCCGCGCCCGCATGCGTCACCCACACCCATTTCGGCACACCCCTCACACGTTTCGTGGCTCCATAGGGAGCTCCACCGAAGGCCCCAGTGCCCGCGCCCGCATGCGTCACCCCACCATTTCGGCACACCCCTCACACGTTTCGTGGCTCCATAGGGAGCTCCACCGAAGGCCCCAGTGCCCGCGCCCGCATGCGTCACCCACACCCATTTCGGCACACCCCTCACACGTTTCGTGGCTCCATAGGGAGCTCCACCGAAGGCCCCAGTGCCCGCGCCCGCATGCGTCACCCACACCCATTTCGGCACACCCCTCACACGTTTCGTGGCTCCATAGGGAGCTCCACCGAAGGCCCCAGTGCCCGCGCCCGCATGCGTCACCCACACCCATTTCGGCACACCCCTCACACGTTTCGTGGCTCCATAGGGAGCTCCACCGAAGGCCCCAGTGCCCGCGCCCGCATGCGTCACCCACACCCATTTCGGCACACCCCTCACACGTTTCGTGGCTCCATAGGGAGCTCCACCGAAGGCCCCAGTGCCCGCGCCCGCATGCGTCACCCACACCCATTTCGGCACACCCCTCACACGTTTCGTGGCTCCATAGGGAGCTCCACCGAAGGCCCCAGTGCCGCGCCCGCATGCGTCACCCACACCCAATTCGGCACACCCCTCACACGTTTCGTGGCCCCATAGGAGCTCCGCCGAAGGCCCCAGTGCTGCCGCCTGCATGCGTCACCCACACACAATTCGGCACACCCCTCACACGTTTCGTGGCCCCATAGTAGAAGCTCCGCCGAAGGCCCCAGTGCTGCCGCCCGCATGCGTCACCCACACCCAATTCGGCACACCCCTCACACGTTTCGTGGCCCCATAGGGAGCCCCACCGAAGGCCCCAGTGCTGCCGCCCGCATGCGTCCCGCACACCCAATTCGGCACACCCCTCACACGCTTCGTGGCCCCATAGGGAGCCCCACAGAAGGCCCCAGTGCTGCCGCCCGCATGCGTCCCGCACACCCAATTCGGCACACCCCTCACACGTTTCGTGGCCACATAGGGAGCTCCACCGAAGGCCCCAGTGCCCGCGCCCGCATGCGTCACGCACACCCAATTCGGCACACCCCTCACACGTTTCGTGGCCCCATAGGGAGCTCCACCGAAGGCCCCAGTGGCGGCGCTCACATGCGCATGCGTCCCGCACACCCATTTCGGCACATCCCTGACAGGTGTCGTGGCCCCATCATCCACCGGAGGCCCCAGTGGCGGCGCCCGCATGCGTCACCCACACCCACCCAATTCGGCACACCCCTCACACGTTTCGTGGCCCCATAGGGAGCTCCACCGAAGGCCCCAGCGGCCGCGCTCACATGCGTCCCCGCCACCCATCCCGGCACGCCCCTCACAACAACAGGTTTCGTGGCCCCATAGGGAGCTCCACCGAAGGCCCCAGTGGCACCGCCCGCATGCGTCACCACCCGCACCCAATTCGGCACACCCCTCACACGTCTCGTGGCCCCATAGAGAGCTGCACCGAAGGCCCCAGTGGCGGCGCTCACATGCGCCCCCGCCACACATCCCAGTACACCCCTCACGCGCTTCGTGGCCCCATAGGGAGCTCCACCGAAGGCCCCAGTAGCGGCGCTTACATGCGTCTCCGCCACCCATCCCGGCCCCCCCCCCCGCAGCAGCATCATGTTTCGGGGACCCATAGGGAGCTCCACTGGAGGCCCCAGTGGCGGCCCGCACATGCGCTTCCGCCACCCATGTCGGCACGCCCCGCGCGTGTTTCATGTCCCCATAGGGAGCTTCGCCGAATGCCCCAGTGGCACCCATCTCGGCACACCCCTCACACGTTCCGCAGTCCTATGGGGAGTTCCATTGAAGGGAAACCCGCAGCTGCGGTACTGACAACTGCATATGGTTGGGTTCTTCGCCAGGCTAATTTTTTGAGCATTTGTTGACCATTTGGGAATATTTTGTGAGATTTGTCCTCGAAAATCCCCCTGTAGGGGGACACGCCCGACTTCAGGCTTGCCGCCGCTTCTCCTCCCTGCCCTCAAACGGTCTGCGCTGCGCTGTTGCCGAGCTGGCTGCCGGACAGGAGGCGCAAAGGGCCCCTGCCGAAGAGGAGCGTCGAGTTGCGCTGGGCCTCTGCCGAAGAGAAGCGCAAGGCAACGTCAAACGAGGAGGAGAGGGAGGAGGAGGAGGAGGAGGAGGAGGAGGAGGATGTGGAGCAGGAGCGAGGAGGAAGAGGAGCAGGAGGAGGAGGAGGTGTGTGAGGAGGAGGAGGAGGAGGAGGAGGAGGAGCGGGAAGGAGGAGGTGGAGGAGGAGGAGAAGAGGAGGAGGAGGAGGAGGAGGAGGGGAGGAGGAGGAGGAGGGAGGAGAAGCGAGGAGGAGGAGGAGGAGGAGGAGTAGGAGGCGGAGGACGAGGAGGAGGAGAGGAGGAGGAGGAGGAGGAGGAGGAGGAGGAGGAGGAGGGGGAGTAGGACGAGGAGGAGGGAGGAGGACGAGGAGGGGGGCAGGCTTCCTAGAAGCGCCCCTGTGTCTCAGAAGGCGCTGTCCTTGTCTATAGATCTAAGGCTGGGCTGTCTAAGCAGCCTTTGTGCGCGCCGCCAAGAAAGGGGGCGAGGAGGCCATGCCAGGGCGAGGAGGCGGCTCGGGGAGGCGGGTCGGCTTTTTTCTGACCGGAGATGGAGGGCGGGCTGGCGCTGGAGGAATCCACAGAATTCGCAACCAGAACTTGCCGAAATCGCGCAGCGGTGAACTCGAACGGGCGGGGCGCGGATCCTTTTTCCGAAACGGGGCGAGTTCTGAACGATTTGCTCGGATGTGAGCATCAAGTGTACTCGCGCGTCGTTTCCAGCTGGAACGTTTAAAGTTGGATTTGTCGCAAGACGCGGTATCGCCCGAGTGGGAGGCCCACTGGGCACTCGCCGGTCAAGCGGGGCGGCTCCCGCAGTGGAAAGGAACATTTTTGGGGACATGCAAGGGGGGAACCTCGAGCGGGAGGGTGCACTGCAGCATCGTGGATGCATCCCGGGTTTACGCTTGCCTTGCCATTGTCTCCTCCTGCTCTCCCCCACCCATCCCTTTTTCTCATCCTCCTCATCCCCGTCCCCCTCCTCCTCACCATCATCATCATCAACATCATCATCATCATCATCATCAGCAGCAGCAGCATCATCATCATCAACATCATCAGCATCATCATCATCATCCTTATCATCATCCTTATCATCATCATCATCATCATTATCATCATACTCAGCAGCATCAACAGCAGCATCATCATTGTCAGCATCAGCATCAGCATCAGCATCAGCATCATCATCAGCATCAGCATCAGCATCAGCATCATCATCATCATCATCATCATCATCATCATCATCATCATCATCATCATCATCATTACCATCGTCTTCTCTGTTCCTCCTCCTTCCTGCCGCTTTCGTCATTTTCTCCCTATCCACCCCTCCTCTCTCGTGCTGCTACAGCAGCTGCCGATGCCACTGATGCAGCTGCCGCTGCAGCTTCTGCGGCTGCTACGGCTGCAGCACTTCATGCTGAAGCATTCAATGAAGCATTCCGTGGCCGATTCTTTCCATTTTCAGCGTTGCTGCGTCTCTGCGCAGCCAAGACCGGCGCCACCCGCGGGCCCCGTGGCGACGGGCCCCCACGACGCCGCGGGCCCCACAGGATCGACCACCGGAAAACCTACGAGCAAGCCCGCCGCGGGCGCCGCGGGCACTGCTCGCCCGCAAAGCCAAGACCCACGCTGCTCTTGGGCGCCGTGGCGACGGGAACCCGCGGCGCCGCCGGCCCCCTGCGAGGGGGCTTCCGGGCCCCCCTCCCCCGGGCTCCCCTGCAGAGGGGCCCCCGCCCCCCAGCCCCATTAGGCCCCCACACGCGTGCGCGTGGCCTCCCCCCCCGCGCGGCCCCCCCCCCAGCCCCCTCGAGCCCCACCACACGTGCGCGTGGCCCCCCAGCCCCCTTGAGCCCCCACACGTGCGCGTGCGCCCCCCCCCCCCCGCCGTTATCCGCCGGGCGTCCCCGCCTGGGCTGGCAAGGAGGCGAAGAAGATGATGATGATGATGATGATGAGGAGGAGGAGGAGGAGGAGGAGGACGATAAACGCGACGACGTTTGCCTGCCCCGAGGCAGCCAACGCGCGCACGACTTGAAATGGATTCGCGTGAGCGGAAGCCTCTTTCATCCGACAGGCATTAGAACATGCATACACAGTTGTGCATGCCTACAAGTATGCATACACGAACTCCCTGATATACAAACGCATCGTATACATATGAGAGGTTCTCGTTGGTTGCTGTCATTAAGGTTTTGTTGTGGAGTTCCTGGGTTCCCCGGCCAGTGCCGGGGGGAATTGTTGCGGTAAGAACGCGTGCGGCTCCAGGGTCTCGCGCGTCGAAATATTCTCAAGATGTTGAGGTGGTCTGGCACGTTTCGCTTGAGACACCCTCACAAGACTGTGTTCCGAGACGACCTGTTCTGAGATGGTCCGACCCGTTTCGCTTGAGACGTCTTCGCAATTCTTTGTTCCCAGACGTTGCGCCAGAGGTGGTCTGGCCCATTTCTCCTGAAACATCCTCGCGTCTCTGGGCTCGGAGATGCCGTGACATGAGGTCCTCTGACCATTTCGCCTGAGACGTCCTCGCATGTCTGGTCTTGGAGACGCCGTGCACGACGCGATCCAATGCCACGCATGAGGCGATCTCCCGCCACTTTCGCTTGACGCGATCTCCCGCAACTCTGGGCACAGAGATACCGCGTGCGAGGAGGTCCGCCAGGTCCGCCTGAGGCTGTAAGAACAGGAGGAGGAGGATGGCAGGTGAGTGCTCGTATTACAGTCGGGGAAGTGTATGTGTTTTCGTCGTCCTCGGGACGTTTCCCGTCGCCAGGGCTGGACGTGGCTCGGAGGGTAGCGGGGCGACCCCCGGGTGCCAGGGTCGCCCGGTGGGCCAGGGTTACAATTCTCCAGAGGCGGCAACCCCAGCGGCGGTGCCGAGGAGGTGCTGGGGAGGGGTTGCCCCCAGAAGAGTTTGGTAAACCCCATGGCCCACGGAGGCTTCTCCGGCGGGACCGCACTGCGAGGCATGTGCGTCAAGATGTTGCTGAAAGTCTGAGAGGTCCTCGAATCTTGTACGGAGTTCAAGTTACATGTATGTTGTCAGTCTTCGTAGGTGACGCCTCAACTTGTGATGGTGTCTCAGACGAGAGCCAAGCTCTTGAAGGTATGTCGAATTCGGGAGCTCGCCGAACGTATCCTTTCGAATGAGGATGTCTGCAGCGAAGCAAATCGCCACACCGAGTTCGACGTCCAACGCCCGAGCTCAACATGTCATCAATGTTCTGGGGGTGTCTCAGGCAAAAACTTCATTTCTGAGAACCAGCGTAGTGCTCCTCCACTATTCCAATTGCGCGACGATGTCTCAGGCGAAACGCTCCCCCCCACACCGTGTTGGACATCCGATGCCCGATCTCCAACATATGGTTATTATGAGGATGTCTCAGGCGAAAGCTTCACTTTGAAAACCAGCGTCGTATAACAGGTCCTTCGACATCCCCATGTTGTGGGGATGTCTCAGGCGAAACGGCCCCCCACACCATGTTGGATATCCGACGCCCGATCTCCAACATGTCAAAGTTCTGAGGATATCCCATGCGCAAGCTTCAATTTTGAGAAACAACGTCGACAAAACAACTCCTTCAAAAATCCCCATAGTGTGAGGACATCTCAGGCGACGCGTCCCCCCCCACTCACTCCCCACACCGTTTGGGATCTCCGGCGCCCGATCTCCAACAGTTGAGTTGTTTGGGGGACGTCGCAACTGAAAGTCTCCTCCTTCTCCTCCTCCTCATCCTCCTCCATCTCTTCTTCTTCCTCCTCCTCCTCCTCCTCCTGAAAGTTCCATGTTTGAGAACCGACGTCGTACAGTGGGGGCCCATGACAAGAAACACCCTGCGTTTCGTCAGGGCTCCCTGGGTTTCTGTGGCTGGCCGGAAGGTCGCCGCAATCTCAAAGAAATTTGAAATGCCAGGATGCACTGGATTTCTTCGTTTGCAGCCGAAGTGCAAGAAGCCCAACCCTGGACTGAGAAACGTCGGCGGATTTCAGTGTTGGGTTTCTGGCGGTGGGTTTCTTGTGGACTGGTCCCCACTGCACGTCAACTCCTCCAACATCCCAACTTTGTGAGGATGTCTCAGGCGGAACGCTCTTCAACACCGTGTTGGATATCCGAGGCCCGATCTCCAACATCTCATTTTTCTGATGGCGTCTGAGGCGAGAGCCTCAGGTTTGAGAGCCAACGTCGAACAACAACTCACTCGGCATCCCCATGCTGTGACGTCCGTAGCCATTCAGGCTAAAGCCATTCTGGCTGAAGGCCAGAAGCCTTCGATCAGTTCGGAGATCGCAGCGGACGCGTGTCCACCCTGCAGAACAGCGCCAGCCGTAGAGATGGTACACCGCGATAAGGAGGTGTACTTCGCGAAGCTTTTTCAGAGCAGGCGAAGCGCTACGACGAGATGGCGGCTCACGTGGAGGCAGTGGGAACGTCGGGTGACCAGCTCTCGAGTGAAGACCGCAGTCTCCTGTCCGTTGCCTACAAGAAGGCCCGTGGCGTCGCTCGGCATGGCGTATCACCGCCAGCGTGGAGCAACAAGAGACCAGCAAGGGCAACGAGGAGAGTATGCAGCATTCGCGAAGGAGTATTGCAAAAAGGTGGAGTTCGAAATCGACGACATTTGTAGGACGATCTTTGCTGTCTTAGACAACAGTTTTATCGAGAAGACAACGACAGGCGAGTCGAAGGTCTTGTTCCAAACGATGAAGGCCGACAACTATCGCTACATTGCCGAAAACATCACTGGCGATGACAAGACGAAGGCTGCGAATGATGCCAAGATTGCTTACCTCGAGGCGCGAAAGAGGTTGCCACCAAGGACTTGGCAGTGACGCACTCGTTTCGTCTAGGCCTTTCTGTGAACTTCTCCGTGCTCCAGTATGGGGTGTTGGAGAAACCAGATGAGGCCTGCAAGATGGCCGGCACCGCTTTCAGGGACGCAGTCGCTGAGCTCGACAAACGTCACAGCAAACTTGTACAAGGACTCCACCCTCATCATACACCTGTTTCGCGACAAGTTTGAGTATCGTTTAACCGATCCCCATCCCCAGCGGCGTGGCCTGGGCCCCACTGGTCGACTTGCCCCCCCAGATGGGGATATAGGCCGTCCCCTTCGGGTTTCGAAGGGTGTATCCCCAACTGGGGGGGGGTAATTTGGTGGGGGTCGCGAAGGGGATGGGGATGGGGATGGGGGCCGGATAAACGACAGTGAAAGTTGACGCTCTGGACCTCGGACCAAGGGCGCGCCCCGAGAAGGGCACAGAGGCCGCGCGCAGAGCCTGCGAAGGCTGGCAGATGCGCGAGCTCAAGATCGCCGGCGAGGCCTGCGCCGAGGAGAGCGCGAGCGCCTTCGTGGGGCGGCGAGCGCAGGTCTGTTTCGGCCTGCGCCGTGGATCTCCACCGCAATCTCGGTTGGGGATCTCGGAGTAATTTAAGTCGGGCCTGTCCCTCTACAGGAGAAATATTCAAAAATAGGCAAAACGTACTCTGGGGTCGATTTCTGTCTATGTTTGAACATTTCTTGTATTCTTCTATATATTTTTATGTGTCTTTCATTTTTCGCCCAACATCCCCCTGTAGGGGGACAGGCCCGACTTCACTCAAGCTCGCCGGCGCGGCCTGCCCGAGGAGAGCAGAACGCCTTCGTCTGGCGGCGAGCGCGGGTCTGTTTCGCCATGCGCCGTGGATCTACACCGCAATCTCGGTTGGGGATCTCGGCTGGAGAGTTGGTTGGGGAGCTCGGCTGGGGGCGCCGCAGCGATCTCGGCTGAGGACCTCGGTCGGGGATCTCGTCTGGGCCCCTCCTCGCAATTTTGCAAGGCCCCCCCCCCCCAAAAAAAAGATAATATCACAGCCCCAAGAGGCCGCCATCAGATGAGACAGTTTGGGTACACGGAGGGCTATGGAAAGGAGCTCGACAACATGTGGCGTCAGGCGGATTTGGGACGACACATATAAGAATAATCGAAACAATGGAATTGCCAAAAATTGTCAAAACATAGTCCCCGGACTATTGTGTTATTATGTTTGAATGTTTCTCCTGTAGAGGGACGGGCCCGACCTAAGACTACCAGCACTCACGGCTGAGCAGGCCGCCTCGGCGCAGGCGCTCCGCACGCGCTGCGGCAGGAGAGGTTCAGCATCTCTCTCTTGCTTGCTGTGCGCGGCCGCTTAGCTCACCGCCCACCAAACTCGGCGATTGATAGACCTCCTACCCTGACACGTCGATTAGCGAATTGGCCGTTTGCGGTTCGCGAGAGGGCGTCGCGGCTGTCATTTCTGCGGGTCTAGGCCCGTCGGTTTCGGTCCGGGCCGTTTTCACTAAAGGGTGGTTTACTAAAGGGAGGTTTGTCCACCGCCGAACCAAACCACCCCAGCCCAACCCGAAGACCTCAGTTTGCCCTCCAGTTCCAGTGGGAGGGGGGGGGGCGGGGAACATCGAAAAAACACACACGGAGCCCATGCCCCCCTTCCAACCGGAGATTCGTGTCTTCGGGTTGGGTTGGGGTGGTCTGGTGGGTAGCCATTCGCCCAGATGCGCACGTGCACTTCGAAGTATTTATTTTTCTTTGCGTGTACTTTGCGCCTGTCGCTCGCACCGCGAGCCGATCGTCGACTTTCCTGTGCCGTTGCGCCAGCATGCCGCCAGAAACGCTCGGTGAATGTCTACTGAGTCGGCGTCGGTGAAAGATTCGACCTGCCCAGTCTCGGCTCGTTTTTTGCCCCTGCTAGCGTTTCGCATGTTGCCAGAGGGTTCGAATAGAGATCGAAGAAATCTACACCCCTTGCTGGGATGTTTGTTATGCCTGCTCGTGCTCTGAGAGCCCAGCAATGCCAGTCGAGGTGCGATCACAAGGCATACGCCAAACGCGGCAATTCTGGCCCCCAGTTTTGCTCGCGACAGTTGTTTTCGATACCCCTCGCGGGAGCCAGGATGCACCAGGGCTCGTGGCAGATGCATACGTTCGTGTATGCATGCAACTATGAAAATGCATGTGTATATATATATATATATATGTATATATGTGTGTATATACATATGTGCATATATGTATGTCTATATGTATATACATAAACAGATATAAATGTTTATATGTATGCAACTGCTATACATTGTGTTTCTCGTCGGTGCCCTCCCGCCGAGCATATGTTTCGGTGGTGCAGGTCTGTGCGAAGCACTTGGACGCAGGCGTCTAGCGTACGTGTTTCCCTGAAGATCCTCATCTTCGACGGACCGTCTGCACCGCCCCCCTCCCCCCAATAAAAAACGCTTTTTCCCCTGAAGAGGTTAAACCTCCTTCAGTAGCCCCAGCTGCCGTGGCAGTTTCCGTGTGACCGTATACAGCAGCGCCCAATTGAAACAACAACATCCCCATGCTGTCAGGATGTCTTCACTTGTCTGGGGATGTATCTGGTGAAAGCTTCAATTTTGAGAGCCAACGTCGTAAGTCACATCCCCAGCGTGTGAGGATGTCTCTAGCGAAACGCTCCTCCTGCTCCTCTTCCTCCTCGTACGCCTGCTCGTCACCCCATCCAGTTTAGGGTCAAAGGCCCGACAACACAAAGAGAACCGTGGTCTCAAGCCCTTACCGAGGCACTATGCACGTGAGCATCAACATGTCAGGCTTTCCGTTTGAAAGGGGCAGTGAGGAAGGTCTTGTTGGGGTCGCCCCCAGTGTTGGGGGGCGCCAGAGACCAAGAAGTCGGTAACAAAACAAATGGGAACCCGCCATGAACATATGTATACGTATGTTTGCATACATACGCAATTGCAAATACTTATATTTCTGTATATATATTCACGTATACGTATGCATAGTCGTTTGCACATGCATGCACATATACATATGCATATAGCTAGTCGTATACATGGACATAGACATGTACATATACGCATACATATACACAATCATACGCATGCACATACACATATACATGTACACATACCGATACATGTGTATATACATATATGTATATGTGGATGCATGCATACACTCAAGCATGTATTACGATCTCGACTCTTAGGGGCCCCTGAAGGGCCTCCTGGGGGCATCGTTCGCTGTCTTGTGGCTGCCGTGGCCCGTCTGGTGCTTTCGGACACCGTCTCGGTGGCTTCTCAGAGGCCGCCTTAGGGTAAAACTGAGGTGTTCGATTATTGGATCGCGTTGCTCACTCTGCTGGCCCATCATCCTGCATCGCTGACATTTGCCCGCGTGGTCGTTGCTTTTGCAGCGCTGCGGGGCAATCGTGCTTGGGCTGTGGGTCAGAATTCTCGTCGGGGTGTCTTGGGGTCCCCTCGGAGAACTCAGGGGGTCCCTGGGGAGCACTTTGGGGTCCTCTTGGGAGCGCCCTGGGAGCACATGTCGGGCCTCTTGGGGCTCTCTTGGGGCATCGTGGGGCTTCTTGGAGATGTTGAGGGGCATGTTGGAGCCTCCTGGGCACCTCTTGGGGCCGAGGGCTCGACATGTCCGTTCGAGATCCCGCTCTGGCCCTCCCTTGGGGCCGTCCTCGGGCCCTTGTGGGCCGTCTTGGATGCCTCCTGGGCCGTTGTGCGGCGCGGTTGGGGGCCTCTGGAGCAGTCTTCTGAAGATCGAATCCGTGCGCGACGATGGTGTACCAACAAGTGAGCGCGCGCGATGCGTCGAGAATGCATGTGCACACACACACACACACATGTATGTAGGTATGCATATGCATGTATGTATACATGTATGGATGTATGTATGTATGTGTTGTTGGTTGCGTGCCTGTGGGTTTGTATGTGTGTGTATGTATGTATTGATGGATGGATGGATGGATGGATATACGTATATACGCATGCGTACATGCGTGCATGCATTTATGTATGCATGTATGCGTGTGCAGAGGTATGAGTGTATGTGTACGTATGTATGGATGGATGGAGGGATGGTTGTTTGTACGGTTGATTATATGTATGTGTATGCGTGTATGTGGGTATGTGGGTATGTGGATATGTGGATATGTATGTATGCATGTATGCATGCATGTATATCTGTATATAGATGTGACTGCATTCATGCATGTATGTATGGTTGTATGGATGTGTGTATGAATGTATGTAGATATGCATGCATGTATGCATGTATGTATGTATACGTGCAATTACGGTTGTATGTATGGATGGATGTGTTGATGTATGTATGCATGCATGTATGTATGGACGGTTGTCTGCATGCGTGTGTGTGTGTGTATATGTATGTGTATGTATGGTTGCATGCATGTGTGTATGTATGCATGTGTATGTGTGTATGCATGTATGCATGCATGTATGTATGGATGTATTTATGTAGGTGAATTCATGTATGCATGCTTCCGATCAGAGCTTGCCTCTGTAGGGGTCCTAGCGGGTTCATATGGTTAGGTGAGTTTTGCCACCGATTTCCGCGGCCCGCCCGGCTGCCAGGGTGTTTGGGTGCCCGGGTGCCCGGGTGTCCGCGTGCCTTATAGCCCTATAGCTTCAGAGCCCTATAGCTCTATAGCCCCATAGCCCTATAGTCGTATAGCTCTATAGCCCTATAGCCCTATAGTCCTATAGCCCTATAGCCCTATAGCACCATAACCCCAGAGCCCTATAGCCCTATAGCCCTGTAGCCTTATAGCCCTATAGCCCTATATCCCAACATCCTTATCGCCCTATCGCCTCATAGCCTTATAGCCCTGGAGCCCTATAGCCCCACAGCCCTATAGCTCTATATATGCCTAGAGCCCTGGAGTATCATAGCCCTATATCCCTATAGCCCTATGGTCCTACAGCCCTACAGCCCCATAGCCCTATAGAGTTTTAGCCCCATGGCCCTGTAGCCCCATAGCCCCAGAGCCCCACAGCCCCACAGCCCCACAGCCCTATAGCCCTACAGCCCTATAGCCCTATGGCCCTATAGCCCTATAGCCCTACACTCCTATAGCCCAATGACCCTACAGACCTATGGCCCTATAGCCCTATAGTTCATAGCCCTATAGCCCCATCGCCCAATAGCCCAATAGCCCGATACCCCTATAGCCATAAAAAATACTTTGACTGGGTGTTTGTTTCCGGTCGCATGTGTGCATGTATGGAGGTATGGTTGTATTCTTGTATGCCTATGTACATGAGCATGAATGTATATGTGTATGTGTATATGTATGTGTGGATGTATATGGATGTGCCGATGTACGTGTACATACGCAGGTGCATGTACACGCGTGTGTGTGTGTGGATGTGTAAGCATACAGATGTATATGTGCACATATATAAAAGTAGGTATATACATCGAGATAAATAGACAAATGTGCGTGCATGCCTGTGCGCGGTGCAGCACATGATGTACAAGCTATTTTGCGCAACAGGACGCGGTCACGTCTACATAATCCCAGACGCTCCCGACTTCGAACAGGTAACAGGAGGGAGGAGAGAGGAGGAAGGGGCTGCTTTGGGCCCAGCTGTTCCTTCCTGCTCCTGCCTCCGGCGCGCCTGCTTGCCCTTCATAACCATATGTATTCCGTGATGTCTTCCTCCAGTTCCCCCACCCCGTGTCCCATCAAGCACCAGACACGCCCCGACCCCGAACAAGCAAACGTGAGGATCGGGGAGGGAGGCAGGCGTTCTTGCCCCTGCTGTTCCGTCCTGCTCGATTGGCGGCCTCCACCGCTTGCTCAGTGCTTCCTCGTGTGCTCCTTCCTCAGTGCCTCCTTTAGTGTTCCGTCCTCCTTCCTCAGTGCTTCCTCCTTCCTCCAGCTCTTCCTCAGTGTTTCCTCGTTCCTCAGTGTCTCATCTTTCCTCAGTGCCTCCTCCTTGCCCAGTGTTTCCTCCTTCCCCAGTGTTTCCTCCTTCCCCAGTGTTTCCTCCTTCCCCAGTGTTTCCTCCGTCCTCCTTCCTCAGTGGTTCTTTCTTCCTCCAGCGCTTCTGTGTGTTGGTATTGGTCCTCTTCTTCCTCCTGCCTCCGGCTCACGCATTCGTCCCCTCGGGCCCCCGACGCCCCCTCTCGTCCGAACAGGCTGCCACAGTGTGTGCGCGGCGGACCTCCACCCGGCGCCCAAGGAAGGGGGCCCCGCGAGGCCCTCCAGAGGCGACGTGCGCGAGCAACCCAGGAGGCCTCAACGCCGCCCCCCTTCGCAGCACGGAGCGCACGGTAGCATCCCTTGCTCCTTGCTCCTAGCTTCCTCGCCATTCGCTACCATGGCACCCCCGTTCTAGTGGGCTCTCCGCCAGCGCAGTCACTCTGCCGAGCCGCCGACGCAACAAGTTCTTGCCTCCGCTTGCCAGCTGCCTAAGTCCTTTTGTACTGCGTCTCCTGGCCTTCGCTCCGCACTCCCTCGCCCCCCCTCTCCCGCTCAGTTGGCAGTCGTTCTTTCTCCATGTCCCGCCCACGTCCATTATACGTCCTCATTTCTCCCTCCCCTATACTCCGCCCACTCTATTCCACACCCCATCATGCTCCCCCTTCCCTCCTCGTCTCCCCTCCTCCCGCCTGCCTCTTGCTCCATCCTCCGTTTCTGCATGTGTCCTTCCTCTCTCCTCTTTGCCGTCCTTTTTCGTCCTCGTCCACGCGTCCCCATTTCTTCCGCCCCGAGTCTCCCACCAGGATTCCTCAGGCCTCGGACGAGAAAAAGGGAGGAAGGTAAGGCGAGCACAAAAAAAGGAGATCGCCGTTTGAACGTGTGTGTGACGAGCGCGCCCCTTCGGGCGACGCATGATGCAGAGCTTCTCTTTCTGGGTAGGAAGTCGCTGACGAACTGTTGTTTCACGGGTGATCTGTGACAAATAAAAAAATAAAAAAGGAGATACTTGCGCACGTGAAGGACATGCGCACGTGTTGATACTTGCGACGTCGGAGGTCCTGACAGGCGGCTCAAACATCCCCTTGGACGTTGGAAGCTCGACGATACGCAGACACGGGTAATCGTTCGGCCTCCGAAGGCCGAAACCGCGCGCGAAGATTCCAGAAAGACGAATGAACGTGCGCAGAGCGCGCGCGCGTGGTTCGAGCATGCACGTGCGTACACACATGTGCGCATTTGCACATATATATACGCTTATTCGTGGTGCAGCATGTGCGGTATATGGAATTCTGCGCACGTCTACATACTCATGTCCACATACCCTCTTCCATCCAAGCGTCATCATGTATCGACTTAGCTCCATCCGCATTTCTTCTGCTCGTACTTCGACCTTACTCTTACGCGCCATCGGCCATTGCTATTCCAGACAGTCCAGCCGTTGCTCGGAGGTTTCGACCATTGGCCTGAGGTGGCCACGTGCCGGAGGGATAATCATCCTAGAAGTTTGTTCCACTATTTCAAGGCTCAGGAGTGCAATATAGGATTAAGTAGCCCGTGGCGGATGGTCGGTCGGTCTCACATCTGGCTTTTCCCCAGTTCTGTTTGACTGCAGGTTGGTGCAGATTGTGAGTCGACGGATTGGGTGGCCAATCTGTCATCGTATCACCTCCGCCAGTTTTGCGCTCGAGCCGTTCGGAGTGCGACTTGCGTGCAACAGGCTACAAAAAGAGACGTGGCCGCCGGGAGGGGCGTTCCATTGGCCGCGCTTGGTTTGGTGCTAGCTGCTAGCATTCGTCAGCAGTGGGAAAGGGTTTGGAGAGCCGAAGCTCCAGGAAGCCCCGCTGAGCTGCCCCGCCAGACCGTGGCAGGCATCGGAACACGTGTTAGTTACAAGGGTTTGCGCTTTTTCCACTGCCTCCGAGGACTCCAGGGAGGCCCAGCCGGCAACGCCAAGCATTGGAACATTGTGCATGTATCAGATTTGGTGCTTCCTTTCACACGCCTTCCAGGGAGGCACCTCTATACTGCGGCAGGCATCGGAATACCGAGTCATGCATTAGATCCGTGCTATGTCCACCCCAGCAGCCTCGCCATTATTATCTGTTGGGCCAAGGATACGCGGCACGATGGATCGATCCTCTATCTCTGACTTGGGCCCGCGTTCGCCGCACTCGAGTCGTCCGATGTCGATTTTCTGCGAAGAGGCGGCGGCGGGATGTCCAGGAAGGACGAGGAAGCGGAGGAGGAGGAGGAGGAGGAGGAGGAGGAAGCGGAGAGCAGGAAAGGAAGGAGGAGTCGAAATGGAGGAAGGAGCGGCAAGTTGTGGGCTCAAGGCAAGTGCGGCTGGCCCCAGGGAAGCCTAGGATTCTTCCCAACTCTCGTGTCGTCTGGCGTGGGGGATGTTTCTGCCGCTCGGGCCGAGCGGACCTTCCATCAGGAAGTGGAGGACGAGTTTAGGAGAGAGATGTGTACCTTGTGCATTTTTTTGGTCGCAGAGGTTGGTGAACGGGATGCGGACCAGCTACGTCTTGCATTGCATGAAGCGCTGCGATCCGCACTTCAGCACCAACTCGAACCTCTCCAGCAGCAGATTCAGCAACAAGTCGCTGAACGTCAGCACCATTGCAACAGCGACTAGAGCAACTACAGCGTACTGCCACCAATGCTTCAGCAAGCACGGACCACGTGCATCTACGAATTAGTCAAGCTCGGCAGCCATTTGAGGGACCCAGGCACGGAACTCACCTTGGTGGACCTTTTTTCGTTGATTCCAGATGCGGACGAGTTGTTTTACACAACAAGTTTGCGATTTTGAAATGCAAGGCTTTGTGCGGCGTTATGGTGATCATGCTAATGCTATTCTGCAGGAGGTGACGAAATAGAGCCTCAGCACTTCACATGTGATGTCTATCAGGTCAGCGCTCCATTACAATTGTGCCATTATTGTGAGTATTTCGATCCAGGGTTTACGACATAGTGCGGGAGACTTACGGAGAGTATTTGTGCGTAGGCATGTTGGCTTGTTTGGTAATTTCTTCTGCTCACGTGCTGGACCATGCGGCGCGCGGCACGGACAGTGGAACTTTGGATGAGCTGTCAGCCGCACTCGGAATTGCAAAGACAACGTGCGCGAGAAACCCTGGGAACCACATTGTTTCTTAGGGTTGACGCGAATGTGTCTTTGAAGTGTTCCAGAGATGGGCCTGTTGGACAGTGTCTGGCCAGACCTCTGCCATCCCGCACCAGTAACATGCAATATACCTATATATCTATATATATATGTGTATAGTTGTGTGTATATCTAGATGCATACACACATACATATATACACATATATAGATATATATACAGATATGCATATGTCCGTTCGCGTTTGCGCACGACCTCCAGCTCAGCAGCCCGTTCCTGCAAACCGTGGACAAGACCAACCTCTGGACTCGGGTCAGTTGCACTGGGGTCTACAAATTGGGGCTTGAAGAAAGCAGCACGTTTGGTACACGTTCGGGGCCCTTGGGAAGCATCTTTGTTGCTTAGCACATGTTTGAACGTATTCGGCGCGCGGATTGCCCCAGTGTTTCACTGCGCATTGGGATATACACGCGCGATGCATCTGGCATTATTCGGCTGATGTAGCAATGCCAGACCCCGAGGGGCTGTTCGGCGACGCCGGGCCCGCGTGGGCGCGGCCGCCGTGCCCGCCAAAAAGTGGATGCCCTCATTGGGCTTCCTCGCAACGCAGCACCGACCCAGTTTAGGGACACTTTCAGGCCACGTGTTGACCCGCGGCAGTTTAGGTCCATCAAAACATAATCTCAGGACGCCTTTGTTCCCAACCCTCCTGTGTTGGGTACTCGCTTTGAATAGAGCAGTGTGGTCGCCCCGTCCTTCCTTCCTATTTCTCCTCCCCTCTCCTCCCCTCCTCCTTCTCTCCTGTTTCTGGTGTTCTCCTCTCCTCTTCCCTCGTGCCGTCGGGCTGCGATCTGCGCAATTGTCGCCACTTTCGTGGGTTCCTGGGAGGCCCAGCGGAGGTACGTCCCACGCGGATCACCTCGGTACCTCGCCGCCCCCTGGGGGGCTTGCGATCTGCGCAATTGTCGCCACTTTCGTGGGCTCCTGGGAGGCCCAGCAGAAGTTGGTCCCACGCGGATCACATCGGCAATTGTCGCCACTTCTGTAGGCTTTTGGGAGGCCCAGCGGGGGTGGGTTCCACGTGGATCATTTCGGTGCCTCGCCGCCCCTTCTGGGGGGCTTGCGATCTGCGCAATTGTCGCCACTTCCGTGGGCTCCTGGGAGGCCCAGCGGGGGCGGGTTCCACGTGGATCATTTCGGTGCCTCGCCGCCCCCTGGGGGGCTTGCGATCTGCGCAATTGTCGCCACGTTCGTGGGCTCCTGGGAGGCCCAGCGGAGGTACGTCCCACGCGGATCACCTCGGTACCTCGCCGCCCCTTCGGGGGGCTTGCGATCTGCGCAATTGTCGCCATGTTCGTGGGCTCCTGGAAGGCCCAACGGAGGTACGTCCCACGCGGATCACCTCGGTACCTCGCCGCCCCCCAGGGGGCTTGCGATCTGCGCAATTGTCGCCACTTCCGTGGGCTCCTGGGAGGCCCAGCGGAGGTACGTCCCACGCAGATCACCTCGGTACATCGCCGCCCCCTGGGAGGTTTGCGATCTGCGCAATTGTCGCCTCTTCTGTGGGCTCCTGGGAGGCCCAGCGGAGGCGGGTCCCACGCGGATCACATCGTTACCTCGCCGCCCCTTCGGGGGGCTTGCGATCTGCGCAATTGTCGCCACTTTCGTGGGCTCCTGGGAGGCCCAGCGGAGGTGGGTCCCACGCGAATCACCTCCGTACCTCGCCGCCCCCTGGGGGCTTGCGATCTGCGCAATTGTCGCCACTTCCGTGGGTTTCTGGGAGGCCCAGCGGAGGTGCGTCCCACGCGGATCACCTCGGTACCTCGCCGCCCCTTCTGGGGGGCTTGCGATCTGCGCAATTGTCGCCACTTCCGTGGGCTCCTGGGAGGCCCAGCGGAGGTGGGTCCCACGCGGATCACCTCGGTACATCGCCGCCCCTTCTGGGGGGCTTGCGATCTGCGCAATTGTCGCCACTTCTGTGGGCTTCTGGGAGGCCCAGCGGAGGTGGGTCCCACGCGGATCACCTCGGTACCTCGCCGCCCCTTCGGGGGGCTTGCGATCTGCGCAATTGTCGCCACTTCTGTGGGTTCCTGGGAGGCCCGGCGGAGGTGGGTCCCACGCGGATCACTTCGGTACCTCGCCGCCCCTTTGGGGGGCATGCGATCTGCGCAATTGTCGCCACTTTCGTAGGCTCTTGGGAGGCCCAGCGGAGGTGGGTCCCACGCGGATCACCTCGGTACCTCGCCGCCCCTTCTGGGGGGCTTGCGATCTGCGCGATTGTCGCCACTTCCGTGGGCTCCTGGGAGGCCCAGCGGAGGTGGGTCCCACGCGGATCACCTCGGTACATCGCCGCCCCTTCGGGGGGCTTGCGATACCTCGCCGCCCCCTGGGGGGCTTGCGATCTGCGCAATTGCAGCCACTTCCGTGGGTTCCTGGGAGGCCCAGCGGAAGTGGGTTCCACGTTGATCATTCCGGTGCTTCGCCGCCCTATTGGGGGGCTTGCGATCTGCGCAATTGTCGCCACTTTCGTGGGCTCCTGGAAGGCCCAGCGGAGGTACGTCCCACGCGGATCACCTCGGTACCTCGCCGCCCCTTCGGGGGGCTTGCGATCTGCGCAACTGTCGCCACTTTCGCGGCTGGGAGGCCCAGCGGAGGTGGGTCCCACGAGGATCACCTCGGTACCTCGCCGCACTTTGGGGGGCTTGCGATCTGCGCAATTGTCGCCACTTCCGTGGGCTTCTGGGAGGCCCAGCGGAGGTGGGTCCCACGCGGATCACCTCGGTACATCGCCGCCCCCTGGGGGGCTTGCGATCTGCGGAATTGTCGCCCTTTTCGTTGACTCCTGGGAGGCCCAGCGGAGGTACGTCATACGCGGATCACCACGGGGCCTCGCCGCCCTTGGGGGGCTGCGATCTGCGCAACTGTCGCAACTTTCGTGGGCTCCTGGGAGGCCCAGCGGAAGTGGGTCCCACGCGGATCACCATGGGACTTCTTGTTGCGCTCTTTCTGCGCACTGCGGGTCCTTCAGAATGCCAGTCAGCATTGAGTGGTCCTGAGTAGAATCGCCACATGTATAGACAGGGTTGGGTACGTCACAGGGTAATTGATAATTCTCCGCATGTTTCCAGCATTTTGGATGTATTCTCAATGTTTGTCACCCGGAATCCCCCTGTAGGGGGACCCGCCCGACCTAAGTTTAAGGATGCTTCTCGGACGCCCTCACGCACTGCAACCTTTGGCCGCCCGCCGGCGCTGCGCATCAGCGCTGTCTGAGCGGGGGGCTGCCGCGCGCGACGGCCGCGGCGCAACCCCATGGCCACGTCGGGGATTGCGCCGCAAGCGTGGGGCTTGGCATCGCTCGGACATGTGCATTTTTTTCTCGGCGAGGACCATCGAGGAGCATCCTTGATCATTTCGCGAAAAGAACACGCACAAAACCGAAAAAAGCACATGGAATGGACGTCCGAGCGATGTCCAGTGGCCACGTTGGGGATTGCGCCGCAAGTGTGGGGGGGCCGTCTGAAATGCAACGAACAAATCGGAAAACTCGGATTCACGAAGGTGGCCAAATCGAAAAATTCGGACTCGCGAGGGCGAAGCGATGTTCGGCTCCCTCCCCCTCCTCGTTTCATTGCGCATGCGTGCAGGGCCGCCGCCTGGTGGAGGATCGAGCCCTGTCCTGTTTTCCAGTTTGACTGCGGCGCCGCTGCGCCTCTGGCCCAGGCCCCTTGCCGTTTCGGGGCGCGGGGGCGGCCTGCGAGACTGTTTGCGCGGCCACTGAGAAAAAGCGAGGGGGATTAGGGGGAGAGCTAACGCACCATGCGCGGGAAGAGCTTTCGTCAAGTTGCCTCGTTTGGGCAACGCGCGGCCCCCCTCACTGGCGCCCCCCCCACCCCCCCACCCGTCCCCCATCGACATTCACCTGATAGACGACAGTGGGACAGGAGAAGAGCAGCAGAGCAAACTATCATAACGATTACGCCGGCGCCCCCTCCATTTTGGAATGCGCCGGGCGCGCCGACGCTGGAATCGATGAGGACGACAGGTGGAGAGAGCTTCGGGAATCCAGCACTATCTCAGTTGCCACAGAGGTTTATTTGGACATTCTAGGGGGGCTCATGCGCAACAGCGGCAGCGGCCTCTTCGCGTTTAGCTGCAGCGCGAGATGGATATGAGCATGTTTCGGCTGGGGCATGTCATTCGCAGACTGCTACAAATTTGTTGGACTCTCGCGGGGATCTCCAAGGTTGCACCGACGCCGGCTCTTTCTTCCAAGTCGGCCATTCCCAAGTCTTGCATCCCGCGGGGATCTCCAAGTCGGCCATTTCTTCCAGAAGCTTCGGATGCGAGTCGGCGGCAGTGCGAATGTTCGAGGCAGACGCTGTCTTGGTCGAGGGGGCACGACGCGGCGACCAAAGCGGCGACCGCACTACCCGTCATGTCATCAACGCAGACAGCGGCAACACGAGCCAGGGAATCCTCAAGGCAGTGGCGACAGGTCGTTGTTCCCATGACGCGCCAGCCCCGCTTGGTTTGGAGGTTGATTGCGGGGCGTCGTCATGCGAGGATTGGACCACAGTTTAAGCCTTTTCGGCCTAGCTCAAGTTCCACGGAGGCGAAAGCAGGCGGCTGAGATTTCGGGGGCATGTTGAGCGGTTGCGAGGGCAAGCAAGAAATGACGCGTTGGACGGCGGTTTCCAGCGCAAGCCAAATTTGGTTGATTTCTCCAGGCCCTTATCCCGGCTCTCCCAGGACGCAGCTCCCGGCCCTGATGGAGTGCTTGGGATGACTTGGACGCGCGCGCCGCAGTGGCTACAGCGTTGCATATTAGTTGGGTTGAAGCGTTGGAAGGACGTTATATGGGAAGCCACTGATGTCGAGACATGGAACAACTTCGTCTTCCGGGGCAATCCGCAAGCGAAGGGCCCGAGCATCGTTGGGCGACGCCAGCGGCTCGGACTCATGGATCATTTCAGTCGAGCATCTTTCGAGGAAAAAAGCAGCGCGCCCACAGTTTCGGGCGCAAGAAGCAAACGTCGGTCGACGATGCGTTTGCAATCCTGTTCGAAACGCCAGTGCGTTCGAATACCTGCGGAGGTTGCAGTTTAGCTTGGGGCGCGCAAAATGTTTTGACGGCGTTCGATTCCGCGAGCCACGCTGACGCTGTGCAGCTGTCGAGACCCTTGGCGCATCGCCCCGCGATTTGTCACCCTTTGCGCGCGACGCGGTTGACCATCAGGTCTCGTCGATCGCGCCAGGCGCGGCGGAGACAGACGCCGCGACGCTAAGCAAGGCGTCGATGGCCCAGGGCGACGTCGAGCCGCGCGAATTCGCCCGAACGTTTGAGGAAACTTCAGACATAGTGGATACGGCATGGGAGCCATTAGGTCTGGGATTCGCATTCAAAGAGAGTCCCTTTTTCGATTGACTTCGGCCCTCTAGGTCGGCAGCATGAATTGTCTTGTCGCTGGCCTCCATCAGTTCTCCATCGCGGCATCTAACCTGCCTGCCTTACTCCAGGGAGGGCTGCATCTCGCGGCAGCAGAAGCCGCATTCGCGAGGGCATCGTTTATACGACTGCTCACGCGGGCGAACGCTTCGACATCGATGTAAGAGGCGCGCCCCACAGGTCTACCGTCCAGACTTCGTTCGAGGCGCCAGCAACGCGGGGGCGGGGCCTTGGCTGCCGCATACCCCGGCGAGGCGCTCGTCCGATAGACCTGCGAAAGGAGAGACGCGTTTTCACCGCTGCGCGCGACGCCGCAGCAGCGAGCGCCTTGCAGGACTCAAGCAGGACGCCGCTGCATCGGCAAGTCCGCAGGCAGCGGCCATATGTTTGCACATTGCGGCGCATCGGACTAGTTTTTGGTTGCCAGACGTTGCCAGATGTGAGAGGAGGCCACTCGCGGAATGTCTCCGCATCAGGCGCCAGGCTGACGGGGGCGCGGCGTTTTGCAACGGGTAGGAATCTACGAAATTGGTTCGTTGGGCGCAGTTTGTCCGATGCAAGCCGATGCGAATTGCGGCGCAGGGAAGAGTTCGCCACCAACTCTGGCAAGAAAGAGTCGCCGCCCCAGAGCACACGGAATCCGGACAGATCGCGCGGAGTTTTGCTGACAAATCATCAGAGACACTTGTTTCCTCAAGCGCAAGCGGGGAGATTGTTGCACGTTTGAGGGCGCGACATGTCAATTGCGACTACACGTTCCGCAAGGTTTGACGTCTCCACTGGCGCGCACATTTCGACTGTGACGGTGTTGAGCGGGAGCGGAGTAGAGGGCGTCGAGCCTTCGTTCGTTCAGTCTACGAATTGTTTCAGATGGTCGAGCCTTACCCAGGAGAATGTTTGCCGAAGCCGTTCCTGATCTCCACGAGCAAGCTGATGCAAAAGACGCTAGTACGCTAAAGCTGTCCACAGTCATAAACAGGATTGCCTTGTGGTTCACCGACGGCACGCGTAGCTGGAGTCTGTTTCGGACACGGCTGTCGCAGGCCTCCTGGCTTCCGAGACGGCGGCCACGAACATGCACTGCAGCCCAGTGGTCGCACGCCTCAGGTCCACGTTTTTAGGAGCTGTTCTTGGAGTGCTGCAAGCATGAATCGGTTTAGGGTTTCTGGCTACGCATGATTGGAGCCCGCGGGAGTTCAGCAAAGCTGTGGGCATGGCGTGCATCATAGCATTGCAGAGCAAGTGTGAAATCGAATGTTTGGCGGAAGATGTCGCAGCAGAAAAATGCTCGAGGGCAGTCGTTTGCAATTTCTCTCCGATGGCGGTTACTCGGCCAGTGCCGGAGCAGCCGCATTCGCGGTGGTCTTAGTTACCCCCAGAGCACAGATGGAGCATTCGTTCGCCACCCACACCGGACTGTACACGACACATGCTACGTCGTCATTCAAAGCAGAGATTGTGGCAGCAGATATGGTTGTACACTTCGCGAGACGGATACAACCCATGATTTCTCACGCGCTTGGGGACAGGCGCTTATACCCGCGATGAACAATGGCGATTCGACGAGGGGAGCTTCCAGAGAAAAAAGAGTCGGAGTGGAGGGACGAGTAGGAGGAGGATAAAGAAGAAGGGAAGGAGCAGGAGCGAATGGGGCGGGAGAAGGAGAAAGAGGACAAGGAAAAATGACACAATGAAATGGAGAAGGAGGACGAGGAGGACAGAGAGAAATACGCGGAAAGGAAAATGAGGAGGTGGAGGAAGACGACGAGGTGGAGGAGGGGGTGGAGGAGGAAGGGGGGCAGTGTAGAAGCGGAGAGGACGAGGGGAAAGAGGATCTAGTTGGAAGGAGAAGGAAGTGGGAGAGGAGTGGGACGATGGGAAGCAGGAGAGCTGGGAGAGGAGGGGGAGAAGTATACCAGAGCGGGAGGGAGGCGCAGGGGATGATGATGAGGAGGAGGAGGACGATAATATGACGGTGGCAGGATGATGAAGAGGAGGAGGGATGACCACGATGAGGAGCAATAAGGAGAAGAGGGGGGAATGCTAAGGAGGAAGACAAGGAAGTAGAACGGAGGGTGGGGAACTGGAGGAGAGGGGAGAAGATACGGCGGCAGGCAGCGGAGAGCTGGCGACCAAGGTGCGGCGGGCAATCACACAAGCAGCGTCAAGGCCGTTATTCGAGTTGTAACTTCCGATGTTCGGTGTTGTTCCATTGTCTCGCTCTCTGTATTTCTCTCTCTCTCTCTCTTTCTCGTTATCTCTTTCTTTCTCTCTCTCTCTCTCTCTAAATATCTCTCTATCCCTCTCTCTGTCTCTCCCTCTCTCTCTCTTACTCTCTTACCCTCTCTCTCTCTCTCGTTTGTCTCTCTCTCTCTTACTCTCTCTCTCTCTCTCTCTCTCTGTTTGCCATTCCGTGTATACGTATCATATGTGTACACACGTAACACCCCGCAGTTGCGGAAAAGAGTGAGGGGACGGCGGGGTCGTCGGCAATTTGCGAGGCTCTGGAGAGGCCCGCTGCGCGCGCCGAATTTTCGCCAGAGCAATGTGGGTGGGTTGCAGGTGCGTCGCGGGTGGGTCAAGGGGTTGATTGTTGGGTGGGTCGCGGGGTGGGCCGCGTGCGGGTCGCGTGCGAGGACGACAACAACAACACAACAACAACAACAACAACAACCACAACCACAACCACAACCACAACAACAACAACAACAACAACAACAACAACAACCACAACACTAATGGAACACGAGTGTTCCGTTCACCGCGGAACCCCACTTCAGCCACGCGCCCAGAGACCGTAAAGGACCGTTCGGCCTCCTCACCCTGATACTTCTATATATATATATATACACACACATAGCGCGTTCTGCTGACGAGGCACACCGTTAGATTGCAGAGCGCCGTGCCGTTCGTGGGAACAGCTCCTTACGGGGCAGATGTTTGGATTATATAGATCGGTCAGCGTTTTAGGTAGTGTCGCTCGTGATCAGATGTCAGGGTCCTAGACTCGGACGCCCCGTGGGGAAAGGCGCTCAAACAATGTGTAGATGCGCTTATAATCATACATGCGTGTATGTGTATGTATGTATGCATGTATGTGTGTACATGTATGTATATCGGAGGTTTCGTTCGTGTCGTGCGTGCGGGCGAGGCGAAGCTGCGTGGGCGCGCGAGAGGGATGAACCCGCCGTTGCTAGGGCGAAGTCAAGACAAATGTTGCTCCCCCGTCCGTCCGTCCGTCCGTCCGTCCGGCGGTGTCCCGCGGTCTCCCCCGTCCGTCCGTCCGTCCGGCGGTGGCTGGCGGTGTCCCGCGGTGTCCCGTGGTGTCCCGCTGAGTGAGATCTATACTGAGATCGATATTGAGATCGATACTGAGATCGATGTGGTGCCCCGAGGTGTCCCGTGGTGTCCCAAGAAGTGAGATCGATAGTGAGATCGACAGGTGTCCCGTGGTGTCCCGTGGTGTCCCGTGGTGTCCCGTGGTGTCCCGTTGAGTGAGATCGATTGTGAGATCGATGTGGTGTCCCGAGGTGTCCCGTGGTGTCCTATGGTGTCCCGTTGAGTGAGATCGATAGTGAGATCGACAAGTGTCCCGTGATGTCCCGAGGTGTCCCGTGGTGTCCCGTAGAGTGAGATCGATAGTGAGATCGATTGAGTCAGATGTTGGTTCCCCCCCTCTCCCCCCCCACCACAACCTCCTTATCACCTGAAGGGTGGTCGTATAGGTATATACCTATACGACCGCCCTGCGGGCGATAAGGAGGTTGGGGGGGGATTGAGATCAAATGTCCACCCTGACTGACCTCCAGCCTTTCACCTTGATCTCATCTCTCTCTTTCTCTGTAAACCGCGATCGCGCCCAGGCGCCGACAAAAGTGAATTGATGGATTGAGTTGGGTGGATTGGATTTGATGGAATAGGATGGATTGGATCAGATAAGATGGGTTGGATTGGAAGCGATGGATAGGGTAAGATCAGATGGATTGGATTGGCCCGCCGCAGGCGCAGAAAGAAATGAATTGATGGACTGGGTTGGGATGGATTGGATTGGGTAAGATAAGATAAAATGGGGGTTGAATAAGATAAGATGGATTGGATTGGACAAGATGGATTGGATAAGATAAGCTGGATTGGATAAGAAAGCCCTCCGCAGGCGCCGAAAAACATGATTCTGATATTAGCGACATGCGTTAGCGCTGGGACGCCCGGGACACCTGGGACACCGCCCGGCCCAATTGGGACACCTCCCGGCCACCGGCGGACGGGAAACGGACTTTCGCTCCTACTGACACCCAGGACACCCGGGACACCGCCAGGCCCGCCCAACTGGGACACCTCCCAGCCACCGGCGGACGGGAACGGATTTTCGCGCTCCTACTTCGGCCTAGCTACAGGAGGATCACGCGCAGCTTCGCCTCGCCCGCACGCACGCACGCACGACACGAACACGAAACCGAAACCGATTTCCCGGTGGGGGGTCTCCGTTTCATTGCGATCTCACCCCCCAATTTCCGATATGCGGATATGAGTACGTTAGCCCGCGCGGGCCACGCACAGGGAGCTTCTGAAAATACATGCGGTGCAATGTACGTGGGGCCACTCATGCGGTGCAAATGTCGTGGTACAGTGCATGTGGTGCGATCTATGCAACCTACGTGGTACAACCTATTTCGTCGTCGGACATCGTCGTAGCGGCCTGCAGTCGGGCAAGTGGCGACGGCGGAGCCGGGGGCGCCAGCGCAGCTTGGCGCCCGGCATTTCGACGGCCCACGTATGGATGGGGAGTCCCGCCTGCCTTGATCCCCGTCCTGGACAAGTTTCAGAGAAGGTTCGCCGCCGCACCGTCGGCTTTGCGTGGCTGGCGCGGTGCATCCCACCTATCTACCGATACCCCCGGGCGCCGTCGCACCGATGCGTATATGTATATATATATATATATATATATATATATTCCTCTTTCTATATTTTTACAAGCCCGGGCGGGGGGAAAACCCGTCCCCCCCCCCCAAAAAAAAAACCGGACTCCCGGGATCTGGGGCTGATGGGATCTTCCGGACGGGCCTCGAAGCGGCCCCCCAGGCTTCGCAGGGCGTGGCGCGGTCCCGAAACGACCCCAAAGAGCCCCAACGGTCCACGACGACCCCGAAGAAGCCGTCATACCCCCAAAGATTGTCCCGAAACGTCCCAAGAGGCCTCCAAGAGCACTCCCAAGAAGGCCCCAAGAGGCAACAATCATTGATGTTCTGTTGGTTTTTGGTTTATTTTGGGGTTCTTCTCTTTTCGGCTTCCCGACGCTCCAAGACGGCGGTGTTCTGGGCGTCCGAAGCCGCCTGGGAGGCTCCAAAATCGCCCCACAACCATACGAAAGGGCTTCCAGGCAGCCCAAGAGAGCCCCAAAACGGCACAACCGGGGTCCAAGATGGCCCTCAGAGAACCCCATGGCGGCCCAAGATGGCCCCAAGACACCCTCCGAAGCATTCCAAATTGTGAGGCAGGGTGGCCCGAGGAAGAAACTAGAGGCCCCCAGAACACGCCCAGGAGGCCTCCAGAAGGCCTTAAGAAAGCCTGAAACAACTTTTGTGAGGCGCCCAGAGGCTCTCCAAGGAGGAGCCTCCGCACAAACAGCCGAGGAGGATGGGGAGAATGCGCAGGGCATGGCGAATATGAGGAAGGATAACGAATAACATTAGTATAGCGGCGATGCCAGAAAAGGCAACAAGGAGGTATCGCTATATTGTCGGCTTGACCTTCCTGCTAGTCCGCCTGCACACCAAACTTCAAGGACCAAGGTGCATCGCGCGAAGCGCCACTGCAGTCGTGTGTGTGTATTTTATTTTATATATATAATATATATATATATATATATATATATATATATATATATATATTTATAGGCGTGGGCCCCCCAAGGCGCCGTCGCACCCTCGGTTTGGCTCGGCGGGTGGCGTTCATCTATAGATCTATCACTCTATATGTGCCACGCCCGATCGCAGTCGCACGGACGCAGATCTGCATTCGATTTCTCAGGTTCGCACATCTATCTACCCAGCCCCACGCGCCGTCGCACCAGCGTGTCCGCGCATGTATGTGGCCACCTGCCACATGTCTCCCAGCTCATGCGGTGTTCCCCATGGGGCTTACATGGGCTTCCTGCGAGAGGCCCCAGATGGAAAACCAAGTGGGAAGTGTTCAGTTGATGTTCCAAGTGGAAGGCTCGCGCGCGCACTCCCAGGGGGGTCTCAAGACGGGCTTGGGGAGTGCGCGGGCGGCTATCAAATGCTACAGTAGAGGCCCATGGCAAGAAAAAGCCCGCGTGTTTCCAGGGTGCCCTGGGTTTCTTGGGTTCGATGGTTTTCTATGGAGCGCGTGACGTTCCCACACCAAATATCAATGGACGTCCTGGGGTCTCAGGGTTAGGTTTCTTGTGGGAGGTTTCTTCTGGGCGGGCCCGTACTGCATGTTGGGACAACTTGTCCAGAACGACGTTTCCGAGGCCCTTGCGCAAGTCACGCGGGGTGCACCCGAGAGCGCACAGGACGCCAGTGCATACTCCGACGCCCGTGAACTTGGGCAGAAGGCTTACTTAAAAGTACAAACATAATCGGATCAGAGAGCTTGAAGGGAGCATGATGTAGTATGAGGTACATGACCATCAAAAGTAGAAACACCATCACCAAACAGCATCAAACGTATAAGCCTCACCATCAAAAGTACGAACCGCCTTATCAAACATATAAGCACCATAATCCAAAACGTTGTAGTGCGAATTACATTATTATTGGTAGTAACAGTGTTCATCCGTAATTAACCGTATCAGTAGCAGTAGGAATATCAGAAAGAGCGTGTTCTACCGTTGCTGGCGGAAAACCGGGGGGGTCACTACCGGTTCGAACCCCTCCCCCCCCCCCTCTGGAAAACCGGGGAGGTCATTACCGGTTCGAACCCCTCCCCCCCCCAGTTCATGATGAAAAGGAGGGGGTCACTACCGGTTCGAACCCCCCCCCCCCCCTCGAAAACCGGGGGGGTCACTACCGGTTCGAACCCCCCCCCCCGGGACGTGGTGAGGGGACAGCGGGACAGTGGTGGGGACAGTAGTGGGACAGTGGTGGGGACGGTAGTGGTGGGGACAGTGGTGGGGACAATGGTGGGAACAGGGGGGACAGTGGACAGTGGTGGGGACGGTGGTGGTGGGGACAGTGGTGTGGGGACAGTGGGAATGAGGTGGAAACAGTGGGACAGTGGAGGGTACAATGGTGGTGGGGACAGTGGTGAAGGCGGTGGCGAGGACGGCGGTGGGACAATGGGACAGAGGTACAGTGGGGACAGTGGTGGGGACAGTGGGGACAGTGGTGGGAACAGTGGGACAGCTCAGTGGGACAGCGGAGGAGTCAGTGGGACAGTGGGGACAGTGGGGATAGTCGGGCAGTGGTTGGGGCCGTGGAGACAGTGGGGAGAGTGGAACCGTGGTGGGAACAGTGGCGGGGACAGTGGGGACAGTGCGACAGTGGCGGGGGCACTGGTGGGGACAGTAGGGACGGTGGTGGAACCAGCGGGAACAGTGGTGGTGAGGACAGTGGCGCTGGGAACAACAGTGGGGGATGTGATGCGGACGGTGGTAGGGACCGGGAGTCGTTTGCTGGCGGTGCGTGGGGGGGGGTCGAACCGGTTGTGACCCCCCTCCGGTTTTCGAGGGGGGGGGGGTCTCGAACCGGTAGTGACCCCCCCCGGTTTTCCGGATCCGGAGGGGGGGGGTTCGAACCGGTAGTGACCCCCCCCGGTTTTCGAGGGGGAGGGTGGGGGGAGGGGTAAAGGGAGGGGGGGGGGGGGTCCAGCAGGGGGGGGGGGGGGGGATTTTCGGAGAGGGGAGTGGGGGCGACCCCCGGGCTCTGGAGGAAAAGGTTAGCAATTTTCCACAGTAAAGCGGCGGTTGATCACGCTCTCTCGAATATCAACAACACGAGGACCAGCCGTATCAGGACCAGCAAAAGTAGCAGCAACAACAGTAACAGCATGGTTTTCGTCGTAGTAGTAGCAGTAACAGTCGTAGTAGCAGTAGTCGTCGTCATCGTAGTAGTAGTAGTAGTAGTTGTAGTAGTAGTAGTAGTAGTAGTAGTAGTAGTAGTAGTAGTAGTAGTAGCCCGTAGTAGAGTAGTAGTAGTAGTAGGAGTGGAGTAGGAGTAGGAGTAGGAGTAGGAGTAGGAGTAGGAGTAGGAGTAAGGAGTAGGAGTAGGAGTAGGAGTAGGAGTAGGAGTAAGTAGTAGTAGTAGTAAAGTAGTAGTACTACTACAGTACCGTAGAGTAGTAGTAGTAGTAGTAGTAGGCAGCAGTAGTAGTAGTAGTTAGGAGTAGTAAGCAGCAGAGTAGTAAGAGTAGTAGCCGAGAGGTAGAGTAAGGAAGTAGTAGTAGTAGTAGTAGTAGTAGTAGTAGTAGTAGTAGTAGTAGTAGTAGTAGTAGTAGTAGTAGTAGTAGTAGTAGTAGTAGTAGTAGTAGTAGTAGTAGTAGTAGTAGTAGTAGTAGTAGTAGTAGTAGTAGTAGTAGTAGTAGTAGTAGTAGTAGTAGTAGTAGTAGTAGTAGTAGTAGTAGTAGTAGAAGCAGCAGTAGTAGTAGTAGTAGTAGTAATAGTAGTAGTAGTAGTAGAAGTAGTAGTAGTAGTAGTAGTAGTGGTAGTAGTAGTAGTAGCAGTAGTAGTAGTCATCGTCGTAGTCTTAGTCGTCGTAGTGGTATCAGGAGTAGTAGTAGTAGCAGCAGTAGTAGTAGTAGTAGTAGGAGTAGTAGTAGTAGCAGTAGTAATAGTAGCAGTAGTAGTCGTAGTGGAAGTAATACTAGTAGTAGTACCAGTCGCAGACGCAGTAGCAATGTAGTAGTAGTAGAAGAAGTAGTAGACACAGTCGTAGTAGTAGTAGTAGTAGAAGTAGAAGTAGAAATAGTAGTAGTAGTAGTAGCCACAGTAGTAGTAGTAGTCGTAGTAGTAGTAGTAGTAGTAGTAGTAGTAATAGTAGTAGTGGGAGTAGTATCAGTACGAGTTGTAGTAGTAGCACTCGTAGTATTAGTAGAAGTAGTAGTAGAAGTAGTAGTAGTAGAAGTAGTAGTAGTATGAGTATAAGTAGTAGTAAGGAGTAGTAGTAGTAGTAGTAGTAGTAGTAGTAGTTGCCGCAGTCGTCGTAGCTCTACGGTAGTAGTAGTGATAGTAGCAGCAGCAGCTTCAGCAGTAGTAGTAGTAGCAGTAGTACTCATAGCAGTAGTAGTAGGAGTTGTGGCAGCAGTAGTAGTAATCATAGTCGTAGTAGTCGTCGTAGGATTAAGAGTAGTCGCAGTCGTAGTAGCAGTAGTAGTAGTAGTCGTCGTAGTCTAAGTCGTCGTAGTCGTAGTAGTAGTAGTAGTAGTAGTAGTAGCAGTAGCAGTAGCAGTAGCATTAGTAGTAGTAGTAGTAGTAGTAGTGGTAGTGGTAGTGGTAGTAGTAGTAGTAGTCGTAGTAAGTAGTAAGTAGTAAGTAGTAAGTAGTAGTAGTAGTAGTAGTAGTAGTAGTAGTAGTAGTAGTAGTAGTAGTAGTAGTAGTAGTAGTAGTACTAGTAGTAGCAGTAGTAAGTAGTAGTAGTACTAGTAGTAGTAGTAGTAGTAGTAGTAGTAGTAGTAGTAGTAGTAGTAGTAGTACTAGTAGTAGTAGTAGTAGTAGTAGTAGTAGTAGTAGTAGTGGCAGCAGCAGTAGCAGTAGTAGCAGTAGCAGTAGTAGTAGTAGTAGTAGTAGTAGTAGTAGTAGTAGTAGTAGTAGTAGTAGCAGTTGTAGTAGTAGTAGTAATCGTAGTAGGTGGCGACGAATATGTGTATACATCTATAAATAGTTAGATTTACACACGCACTGGTCCTCTATCGTTCTCTCTCTCTCTCTCTCGGAGCCCTCCCTTCTTTCCCCCGTCCGCCTTTCAAGTCCCCCTGTCCTCCTCCCATCATTGCGGAAGTTGGCGCATCGTTCTGTGGAAATCTTTTCTCTCCTCGAGCAAACGTGGGGACTTTCCCGTTCGTGCGGCTGCGATCTCGCGCGTTCCAAGGCGAAGCACCAAATCCACCATCCGAACAAGTTCAAGGACGTGTTGAAGCACGGAAGCAAGATGCCGGTTCTCGACCAGGATGTCTGGGCACCCATCGACACGGAGAATCATCCAGCATTTTCCCCCATTCATTGTTCCGTTCCCTTGCCCTCGCCCCAGGGAAGAGGGGGTAGAGTGGAGAAGGGTATGAGACACTGTATGTATGTGTTGGTCTGGTCCTCAAGGATGGCATCCGAGCCCTCCTGTCCCAGCGGGACACTCTTGCGGAGTATGTGCGGGCCAAATACGCCGGCGACGGCGCGGTGTTCGCTGACGGCACGGACACTGGCGGCGCGCGCTGGAATGGGACGTCCAGTCGGTTCTCGGCCGCCTCGCCGCTCGACGGCCAGACGTCTCGGAGCAAGGAAGCATGCTCTTTTGTGCACGTTGCGCTTGCAAGCACTGTCTTTTTTTGATACGGTCCTGCCAAGCCAGTCGGGGTCTTCAATCTTCTTCTTCTTCTTCGATCGTACCCGTCAGTCCCAACAGCCTCGGCCAGCGCAGTTGTGGAGCAGTGCGTGCCAACGCTGATGTCATTGCTGTCTGTTGTGGCGCACGCGAAGTGCACGAGCCGATTCAAGTGTCCATGCAGCTCTGCGTGCCCCTGTAGTCGCGCATAGGCGTGCCCTCACGCGCTCGTGGGTGGCTCGTCGCGTCTGCAAAGCAGGCAGGTAGCAGGCATCACAGATAGCGGGTGCCTGGTGGGGGGATGAAATCCATGCACGCGTGCGTTCTAACCAGAAGCACTTAGGCTCGAGAGCCGCCAAGAGCGGAGTGCGTCGCAGCCAATTGCACGCTGTCACCCAGAGAAGAGCAGTGCGTGAATGGTTGTGCATAAGCGCGTGTTTGTATGTGGTGTGGTTTCTGATGGAGGCTTGCACCTGAACATATACATGTAGACGTATGTCTCCCTGTGTGGCGAATCTGACTATCATGTACGTGCTATACGTGACTGTGTGTATACGTCCACGGCCTCCCAATGTTTAATGTTAGCTATGCTTATGTCCCTCATCTGGCTCGTCAGCATCCTCAGTTTCCTGTTTGACTTCTGGGCCGAGGGAATATGCGCGCTCAGATGCACCAGGCTTCGGTGTCCTCGGATTGGTTGCGCGGTCCCATGCTTCAGTGTCAACGAAAACAGTTGCTTTAACGCAGGCTCAGCCAGCGTTTGGAGATTGAATTGACGTCTTTGGATACGGTTTGGGCTCCAGTGGTTGAAACGTGGCGTGGCTTGCAGCATAGGGTAAGTTCTGGCCTGACTGTATATCTGCGTTCCCAGCGAAATGACCCAGCGCGACCTTCATTGAAGGGTTATCTTCGAGTGTTTACGGTCAGCTCAACAGTCTACATTTACGCACGACTGCATTGAGAAAGAGAGAGAGAGAGAGGGAGAGAGATACAGAGGCTCTGTAACAGCACGGCGCAAGCAGACCGACCGCAAGCAAAAGGCCAGTGGCGGCAAGCCAAAAACCAACCATGATCGAAATTGTTACGAGCTATGTGCCGACAGCCAGCTCGGAGCAGGCCCTGGGGCCAATATCGATATCGAATTCGCATGGACCGATCCCGTTCGACTCCGATTTGCCGAAGATCCGATGCAGCCCGAAGCTTGCTCTGGCGCTGTTGCGCAGCTTGGCACGGCCGGTCCGATTCGATTCCGACTCCGTGCAGATGTAGCCCGATCCGACGTACGGTCTGATTTGATCCGATGTCTTCATTCGATGCTAATTGATTTAACCACGCAGGGCATGGACTGGATGCAGGCGCATGGCAAAGAGATTGCGGATGACCATCTGTTCGACAGCGACCAGGCCTTAAAGCCAGGGAGCCTCAAGTTCTGCCACGAAGGGAAGTGCACAGGCGACCGCGTTTTCCCTCCCGCCTCGTCCTCTATCTCGTAGCCGTCTTCATCGTCCGCATCCCTCCACGTCGTCTTCCCCATCCTCATCCTGATAAAAAACTTACGACCTCTGAGCGACGCAGCAACGGGAAACCTTGTCAGACACGTTACTTCTGATTATAATTTGGCCACAGGGGTATTGAAAGCCAGGCATCCTCTTGCTCATCACTCAAAGTCCATCCACCATATTCGGTGCGCAACACGATCCGCAGACCAGACAGCCAGACCCCCAAAAATCATTACGTTCCAACCACCTCGAACAGCGATTATAAAGAGTGGTCACCACGTCCCTCCAGGGAGGCCGTCTGAAGCGATTGTTCTCCAACCCCGCCGCTGGCCCTACCCCGATCTACCCGCCGCCTGCATCCCCCTCCGCTGCAGGTTGTCTGTCCTGCTCTGTCAGGGTCTGGAGGCGATGTCGCGGATGTTTAACAAATCCCGATATACTTGTGGAGGACGATCAATGGAGAGGAAGCATGTTGCCAAATAGTTTCCAGGTGTCGAACACATGTATCAAACATAGTTTAAACATGTCTAAACATGTTTTAAACATGTTCAGAACATGTTTTACACGACTTAAACACATATTTAATTCAATCATAGGGCTGATAGAGTGTCTAATGTCATGGCATCCACAACGATATACCCCACCTTTGCGCCCCCCCGAAAAGAGGCTCCACTCCCCCAAGGTCCTCCCGCTTGTCTCTCTCCAACGGCCGCGGCGCGCTGATCCTCACCGCACGCCGCCGCGCTCGGCAGCGCAACGCCCGCGAGACTCACTGTCGCCATCGCAAAGGATCAGGGAGGGAGGAACTATGATTCTTCCTCCTCCTCCTCCTTCTTCCCCTCCTCCACATCATTATCACCACCACGCCCAAAACCACCACATCATCATCAGCAGCAGCATCATCAGCACCACCACCGACAACGACAGCAGCAACACCATCAACACCATCTTCCTCAACAGCATCATCAGCATCAACAGCACCACCATCATCAACGCATTAACATTGCCCGCATGGTCAACCAAAACATCAACCTCATCACAAGCATCATCATCAACAGCACTGCATGATCACCAGCACCCGTATCACCACCACCATCACCAGCACCACCGTCATGGTCAACAGTATCATCCACCCTAACCATAATCGGATTCAGCCCCAGCATCACCATCATATTCATCAGTATCATCAGCATCGTCATCATTAACGTCGCCGCCACACGCACAACCACATCATCAGCATCACCACCATCAACATCATCAGATTCTGCAACATCGCTCGTATCACCATCCGCAGGATGATCAGCATCATCATCACCATCGTCAGCATGATCAGCATCATCGTCATCAGCAGTATTCGCACCATCGTTCATATTACCAGTCGTCGACATGAAAAAATATCACTATCCAGTGACAGTAGTAGGTATGAGAAGATTGTACTAATACAGAGGGTCCCAATGATAATAAGAATAGCAATTAGAAGCAACATCAGCGTCATATTCGTAGTCATCAGCATCATCACAATCATTACCTTCATCGTCGTCATCATCATCATCATCATCATCACCACCCGCATCGTCATTATCATCATCACCAGTAGCACCAACAGCATCTTCACAGTCATCATCATCATCACCATCGGATCATTACCACCATCGTCATCATCATCATCATCATCATCATCACCATCAGCATACTCATCAGCATCATCACCATCCGCATCATCAAAATCATCATCATCAACATCATCATCAAAGTCATCATCAAAGTCATCGTCATCATCAAGACCATCACCATCTTCGGAAGCATCAGCAACACCAGCAGCATCATCAGCATCACCACCATCATCGTCATCAACATCGTCATCGTCATCGTCATTGCACTGATCACTTTCATCCTCCTCGCGGGGGGGAGGGGCGAGGCCTGCAGAACCGCGGGAACAGGGGGGCCCAGTCGGCGGGGCGCCGTGCCTGGAACCTGCCCCTCCTCCGCCCCCACTTCTCCCCCTGTCTGCCCTTGGCAGCGGGGCGGGACGGTAGGCCCTGCGTCAACGGGTCGTTCCGCACCATGTGCAGCTCGGGCGGCCTCCGCAAAGGGCAGCCGCGCTTCCTCGGCAGCAAGTGCCGCCGAGGGAGCCTTCCGTGCGCCTGCAAGCCCCGGGGGGGGGCCACACGCCGTGCGAGCGGGAACGCAGGGCCCAGGGAGGCGGAGCTGCGCAAGCGCGACGCGGCCGTGGCCAAGGCTAAGAATCGAAGAAGAAGAAGAAGAAGAAGAAACGCCATACACATCTGCTAAGAATCGGCCGTGGCCAACACAACAGAATCGGCCTTGGCCAACGCTAAAATTCGAAGCCGAAACAAAAAAAATGTTGACGCTCCGCGCGGATTTCTTGGATCTGCGCTGGCCCCCCCCCCCGGCGGCGCCTCTGGCGCCGCCATTGGCGCGCTCCGCGCGCCAGCGACCGAGGGGTCCAGCGCAAATCCAAGACACCCGCGCGGAGCGCCCAATGTTTATGTTTACGGCGTGTCTTCTTCTAAGGGCGCTGCACCTGGCGCTGCAGGGACGCCTGGCGGTCCCGAGGACTCGCCCGCTGCTGCGGATCGGGCCAAGGCGGACAGGTTCCGCGCCGACTTCGAATCCTTTGACGGCATGTTCCTCCTCCTCCTCCTCCTCCTCCTCCTCCTCCTCCTCCTCCTCCTTCTCCTCTCCCTCCTCCTCCTTCTCCTCCGAGCAGCTGCTCGCGGATGAACGGGAGCAGCTCCGCTCCCTGCAGGCCGCTTTGCACCGCAAGACGAAGGTCATCGAGCGCCCGGCGCTCACTGACATCCCGGCGGCTCTGCAGCAGGTCGCCGTGCTCCAGGGCGATCGCGACCAGGCGGTCGCGGAGGCACTTCGGCACCCCCCCAGCTGCAGAGGAGCAGCGGGGCGCCCTGAAGTCCTGTCGGCTGCGCCCGCTGCGCCGCCCCGGGAGGGCGGATCCCATAGGTGCCAGCCGCAGGCGGCCCCCCGGAGCTCGAGTTGTCCGACAGCCCTGGGAAGCTCTTGGTCCCCAGGCAGCGGGCGTCTCGAAGAAATCGTGACGGAGGTTTTTCGTCGTTTTCGGCCCCTCGGGGCCCTCCCCGGGCCTCGGGGCCGTCAAAGAATTCAATGACTCGGGGCGAAGAGCCGGTCCCGGGGAAGTGGTCGGGAGGTCGGGGGCCCGTGTCTCGAACGAATCGAGACGTCGGATGTTTGGGAAGGGCGGCCGTGGACGCTGTCAGGGGCCGAAACCGCCGCGGAGGCCGCGCAGGAGCCTCCGCGCGCGGGGCCTGGAGCTGCGGCGGACGGCTGTGCCCCGCCCGCGGGCGCAGCGCCAGCACTTGCTGCTCCGGCTACCGGCGCTGCCGGCGTTGACGCTGGAGGACGAGGGGGGGGGCGGACGGGGGACGTCGAGGGAGCAGATGCCCCCGGGCACCCTTTTCACCGGGAGGGCCAGGCCGCCGTCGACGCGGCCGCGGACGAGCTGGATTCTGGTGGTGTTGTTTTGGGTGACGTCGATCGCATTGACTGGCGAGCCAAGGCCAAGGCGGCCGCGCGTCTGGCTTGGCAACTGGTCACCAAGATCATCGACAAGAAGAGGGCTGGATTTGTTGGGTAGCGCCACAAGTACCCCGAGGGGCTGCCCATGGGCACCGCAGCTGCGCCTGCTCCTCGCGAGAGTCCCGAGCCTCCCCATTCGAGGCCTCTCTGGCCCAGGACGGATCGTGGAGGTGCTGGGGGAGGGGTGACGTGGCGCACGGACAGCAGGCACGACGTCTGCCGACTTGCACGTGCCTAGGACCGGTGCCAGCACCTGTAGTTCGGCCCAGTCAGCTTTGGATAAAGCCGGGCCTGTCCCTCCACAGGGAGGAGGATTCAAAAATAGTCAAAAAATAATATGGGGACGATTTTTTTGAAGTATGTCTTGATCATGTTTTGGGTATTCCTTGGCTATGTCTTATTTTCATCCAAAATCGGCCAGTAGGGGGACATGCCCGACCTCGGCCTTGGCAGGGCCGCCGCCGTCGTCGGGCCACGGGCCCCCCTGGCCCCGTCGTCGTCGTCGGGCCTCCTGGCCCTGGCCCCAGTCCCCCTCCCCTGGTCGTCGGCTCCTTGGCCCTGGCCCTATAGTCCCCTCGCTCCCCTCCTCCTCCTCCTCCTCCTCCTCCGCCTCCTCCGCCCGCCTCCTCCGTAGCCATTTTGGCTCAAGATGCCTATTTCCCCAGGGGATAAAGTGGATACCGCTAGTCCGCGGCCAGTGCCAGGGCTCTTGAGCCCGACAGCTCTCAACCCTCCGTGTGCCTCCTGCAGCCCGCAGGTGAGCTTCCTCCGTTCCTCAGCCCGTCCATGGCGCCCCCGCAACAGCGCAGTGCCTACGTCAAGTGCTATGCCTGCTCATACTCCTGGAACTACAAGACCAACCAGACGTGCTACTGGTGCAGCAAAGCATTGGCGCCGTGGACAGACTCCCCGCCTCCAGTTCAAGGTGCCTGGGCGGCCCGAGCCAAGGCCGCAGCCCAGGAGGACTCCAGCCGCTCCCAGCAGCCCAGCCCTGACGGAGGATGGGAACCGTGGGCGTCATGGCCCAAGTCCCGCCGCCGCCGCGGCAACGGCAATGGCAAGAACCAAGAGGACGACTGGTGGGCCAAGAACGACACCCCCAAGGCGCGCTCCGCAGAGGACATCCTCGCGGAGCTACAGGCGATCGCCCCACACATCGACAAGGCAGCCATCGACGGTATCAAGTCGCAGATTCCGCCGCCCCAGCCGCAGAAGCCAGCCGACCTCAACGACATCTACAGCCGCGCCCAGGCCACGGAGCGCCGCTGCAAGAACAACCTCGACAGGCTGCTCGAGAGCGAGCAGAAGGCGCTCAGCTGGTACACCGAGCGCAAGGCTGCGTCGGAGGAGGCAGCCTACAAGTTGGCCGAAGCCCAG